CTGATAATGTCACTTTGTTGCTTCATCTATATTTTAATTGAAGTCTGGGCTCTCCTCTACCTGGTGTTCTCATTCAGATCCCAGCTCCCCTGGGCCAGCTGTGAGAACACCTGGAACACAGGTAAGTTTAAACTTTGGTTTTTGACAAACTTGTTCACTCAACCGATAAGCCACCAGGTTGTCGGGTTAACACATAAATACATATACTCTCTCAATGAAAGCTTTGTTTGTTCCCAAACCTAGCTGACTGTCTTGGTCTTAAGACTTTGAATGTGACAGATGTTCTGACCAACACTACCTCTGCTGCAACTGAGTTTTGGGAGTGAGTACTTTTTTTCTTCTAATGAACCAAAATATATGTAAATGTTTGTGTCACTATTTTACTTTTGATGGATTAATGTTTTTCATGCAATTTTTGAAATTATTTATGTTTTTCACTTGTTCTGGTTCTCAAAATACTTTGAAGTTTAAGCTTTCTAAAAGGTGTACTTAGAACAAGAACATGAAATGTTCAAGGACTATATCTGGTGTTGGGCGATAACTGTTGGTTTAAATTCAGAATGTCAAAAGGTAGTAGCATTGTGATGCAACTTCGCAAAATGGAATGACAGCTTTGACTTCAGTTTTTTCATGGACTGAATTAGAAGTCTTTGGACAGAATGCAGAGACATTTGTTTAATAAACTAATATTAAAGGAATATCTTAAACAATTGTCTACTCATACTAAAATAAATAATGTATTTAAGACAAGCATAAAAACATGTAAAATTGAAAAATTAGCAACAGCAGTTGGTAGGCAACTGGTTCAAATGTGGTTCACTGTATATCGTCAATAAGTAAATTGAGGGATGTTCCTACATATTACTATGTGCCTCTACCCATCTGAACCTACCATGTCCCTCTTTGGCACTTTGTGTCAAATCACGTCTACCCGTTGGATTCCCCCTCCGTCTCAGACGGCAAGTGCTGGGCATGTCTGGAGGCATTGAGGAGCTGGGCAGTGTGAGATGGGAACTGGCTTTGTGTCTTCTGGCCAGCTGGATGTTCTGCTACTTTAGTATCTGGAAAGGTGTCAGATCTTCTGGAAAGGTCCTGTGGAAACATTTAAAATCTTTATTTATCTGTGGTGCATCTAATCATCAATAACCTTTCTCTTAACATTTTCATTTAAGGTAGCGTATTTCACAGCCACATTCCCCTACGTGATGCTCCTGATCCTACTCATCAGAGGTTTGACTCTACCTGGAGCTTGGGGCGGGATCTACTACTACCTGTATCCAGACCTGAAGCACCTGGCAAACCTTGAGGTGGCCTGTTTACTTGATCCTAAAGTTACAATTAGAATTTCAAACACACTGAGGCCTTAATTTAAATAGTTAGCTGGCTCTTGTTTGACATCCTCTGGAGTCCTCCTGATTAGGGCCCCTTATTTATCAAGCATGTCAGAATAACTGCTAGGATTCACAGTGAAAGTTAAACTAGGACTCGTAATTCAGTATATAATACACCTTTACTTACATTACAGGTCTGGATAGAGGCAGGATCTCAAATATTTTTCTCCTGCAGTCTGACTGCAGGGACTGTAAATGTCCTGGGCAGCTATAATGAGTACAACAACAACTGTTACAAGTACGTGTATCGAAGATATTACAACTTTGATAAGACACAACATATGGTTGGATTTGGTAAAAAGGTTTTGTCAAATTACAAACTAATTAAAAGACAATAAGAAGGAATGTCCTCTCTCTGACAAGAGTCTGTTGTCTTTCTATGACCTCCAGGGACTGCTTCTGGCTCTGTCTGCTGAACAGTGGGACCAGTTTTGTTGCTGGATTTGTGGTCTTCTCTGTACTTGGATTCATGGCTCACAAACAGGGTGTTACTGTCGACACCGTGGCTGAGTCAGGTACAGTATATTCAAAGATTTCATCAAATGCAATGTTTAATTAGTCAATTATCCAAAGTTGAACACAATGTTCTAACAAAAATAGGTATAATTTAAGCTTCTCCTCGTTTACTTCACAGGTCCAGGTTTGGGCTTTCATTGTTTACCCTAGGCAACCAGCTAAATGATGCCTTTTGCCACAGTTCTGGACGGTCTGCTTCCTTCCTGATGCTTATTCTACTGACTGTTGACTCCACATGTAATAACAGTCTGTCCACATTACTTTCTTGACAAATAAACAGAATTTTTGTCCAGGACACAAATCAATTGTTTGTTGGTGTTATTTTTGTCCGCCCAGTTTGTGATTGTGGAGAGTTTTATCCACCACAGTGAGTCGATTTGTTTCCGAAATGTTTCGTGCACCAGTGAGGCACACGATCTTTGTCCCTCCATCATCTGTGTGTATCCAGCTTTTCCTCCCATACATCTTACCCTGGTTACTGAGGTGAACACAAATATCTTCATGAAACCTTCTTTATAAAACTAATTTAGAATTAGTAACATTTCATTTAAATGTTTATTGAAATCTCATCTCTTCTTGCTTCAGGGAGGAATTTACATATTCCAACTCATTGACTTCTATGGCTCTACCAGAGTCTGTCAGAATTTTATGGCTATTTGTGAATGCCTGGCAGTGGGCTGGATTTTTGGTGAGTCAGATTACTTAGCCCATGCCCAAGATGTAAAGATGTAAATCTTTAAAAAAGAAAAATCATTTTTAAAAAGGTAATTTCCTAACTCAGCTGTGGACTGTAGTTTTAAGCCAACTTTACTCAAACATATAAGATAGACAGTATAATGTTTGGGTACTATTTTCAGTGGTGGATTAATACACATTTTGGTCTTCGTGGAATTTGTTGACATTAAGGAAAATGTAAAAATATCACTAGTCTTATTCCTGAACTCCTGAAACTTTGACAAAGTCACATAACTGTAAATTGGACTTCCATCAGGTGCTGACCGCTTTTCTAACATCATTGAGGACATGACAGGACAGAGACCGTCTGTTTTCTTCAAACTGTGCTGGAAATACATCATTCCTCTGCTTTCACTGGTGAGTCAGAGAGTTTCATTGTGGCTACCAATACAATAACTTTGGCAGTTTATTCAGTAAATCTGAGTGAAAATTCTTAATGCAACACATGTGGATTTTTGCTGCTATTAATTTGACCTTCCAGCATCATTAGATCTTGACTTTTACATCGCCATATGATGTAACTGAATTCACCAACATAATGTTGTGTTCACGGATTAAAAAAAAAGAATACCTCTCCACACCCTCACAGATTTCCTTTATCCTCTACCTGGTTGANAAGATTAATGACTGGTACACTTACCCTGACTGGGCGTACGCACTAGGATGGACCATGACACTCTCCTCTGTTCTCATGGTGCCACTGTGGGCAGCTGGACAGATGTGTTTGACAGCAGGGACCCTCAGACAGGTCAGTGCTTAAAGAAGGGTTTTGGATCATGTATCAAGTTTCCTCTGGAACACCTTTAACATTTAAACACCATTATTAGAGGCTGTCTACGGAAGCAAAGAATGGCCCATCTTGCAACCATGTTTTTTAATTCCATTATCTTGAGCTTTATATAGTCAGTCACAAGAAAAATAGTTTTATTTTCTCGAGATCACAGGACAGAACTCAAAACTTAGTGTCTGTCATTTGATCACATCTGATTTCAGCCTTCAAGTTCATGACTGTAGGGGAGGATTCATAACGGAACTGAGAAGAGTCGTTATCAGAATGAACATACATCAGAGAGTTAATAAAAGCTTTTCATTTCCTGGCAATGTCATGCAATAATGCCAAAATGTATCAGGAGAAGATTGACATTTCATTTAAATGAGCTCAAAGATCCATGCAATCTTCAGACTCTCTCAATTTGTTCAGTATGAAAATTAATATTAACTGGCATGTTCGTGTCTTTCCTCCATGCAATGTCCATTATGTTTAACCAATCTCTGATAAACATTAGTTATACACAAGTAAGAAGAGGAAACATCCTTTTGCTTTTTTTTTCGTGATAATGGGTTTATAGTTCTTGTTTCCTCGAGATAACTAAGCATTGCTTCAGCATTGTCAACCACAGCGGGGATCTGAGCCCTTGCATACATATTTAGCGGTGGATTGTTCCACAGTGCTGCTCTTTGGGTGCCCTGCAACTTTAACTATGGTGGTCCAAAATGTCCCTTTTTTTACTTTTCTGCTTCTTTCTTGTATTCCAGCGTTTGTCCGTTCTTTGTCGTCCTGCTGAAGATCTAGCAGACGCAAAGCGGGATACCAAAAGAGGGGACGACACTCGAACTGAGGACGTCTGCAGTGACAGCTTAATATGACGCACGTCACAGTGAGCTGTCATATAAGCTTCTAAGTAATCAGTGTAGTGCACATAGATTTCAGTGATTAAAAAAACTCAAATAACTGCTTAAAGGACAATTACAACTAATAAGCAATTTAAGCCATTTATCAAGATACCAATCTGGATGGTATGTTTGTACTGTTTTCTATAATTGTCAATTGAATATTGGTTTAAGACATCCAGTTTAGATTAATTGCCCAAAGGTGTGAATAGTGTTTGTGTCTAAATGTTAGGCTTGTGAGGATCTCGTGACCTGTCCAGTGTGTACCCCGCCTCTCGCCCAACAAAGTCAGCCAGGCTCGGCTACAGCCCCCTGCCACCCTGAAAAGGATAAGCAGTTATAGATAATGGATGCATGCATTCCTAGCTATCTCTCACTTTGAAATTCGACATTTTAGGTTTTAAACATCAATTCACAGCCAATAAGTAGTAAGTGCAGTGAGTAAAGTGGAAGTATTCAGCACTTCAAATATTGAAATTATTCAATTTTAAATCCCCATTTGGCTGCACATTTGACAAAAAAGTAAATATTGGTTCATCCCAACTTCAGGCAATGTGTTAAATCAAGAGCAAAGATGGCAGTTTATATAATTAATCATCAGCTAATTAGATTTTGTACAGCAGACTTACAATTTGTTTTCAAACTGTCATCCTCTTCGACACACCATTTGAGGAAAAACATGTTTAGTTTCAGTTTTTAATGTTTATTGAGTATGACATGTATTCACAGCTGGTAATGGAAAGAAAAATGTTTGTCATCCTGAACTGGACATGTCCATGTAGTTGAAATCCTTTTGAGAAGTGATTTGCGTTCCTCAACAGTCCACGTCAGTTTTAGCTGAGTCAGTTTTGACAAAAGATCGTTACAGTAAGTCTGCCGCAGTGCTTGTTGTTCCTCAGAGCCAATAATCAAAGTGCCTGACGCCGTCCTCCATCATTTCTTAGGGAAGAATCCCATAATGGAAGCTTGTTTACTTCCTTTATTTGCATTTGCAGAAGTTTTCTTCTGACTCTTCTTCTCGTCCTGTTTGTTGCTCGCCGGTAGTTTAGCTGGGAACGGTTCTTTGGCAGCTTGTTTGGTGGCCTGAACATCCTCTTCTGTTTCAGAGTACGATTCACTCTCATAGCCTTTCTCAGTCACTGCGGGAACAAAAGATAAAGCAGTAATGGTGTATAGTTAGTATTTTGTCACATTTATATACACAATTAGAAGCACCTTTAAATACAATGCAAATCAGACACAAATATTATAATGCATTTGAATCAGAGCTGAAATTAATACCTGATTACCTTGTTTTAACTATCTGGAAAATTAACTGATAATGAAGATTTTTCATATATATATATATATATATATATAGTAATTATTGCCCATTGTCAATATTTGGATACGTTGTTATATTGGTGTAATTAATAAATATACAAATTCAGTGTAAATGTTTATGTTGTGGGGTTTTTTTGGGTTTGAAAAATGAATTAAATGCAGTATAAATTTAACAAAGAAGTTTTCAATCAGCTGTCTGCTTTTCATACCCATGGATCCATCTTCATCTACAAAGATACGAGCTTTCAGGACTCGTCTCCTCTTCCTCGTCCTCATTTCAGACGTGCCCTGCTGCAGAAGAAAAACACATAAGAACCTAAATGTTTCATCATTTTGTGTTAAATACATAAAGAACATTTATTAAACGTCTATCAGGAATAATTTGATTTTCTCTTTCCAATACTCAGCTGAGCTTTAAATATAATATTTAATCACCAGGTTCGAACACTTACATGTGAATGTGAAACAGACTCTGCCTCCTTCTCAGGGCTTGGTGTTGGTTCTCGTGTTTCCATCTGCTGTGGAGAATCTGGAATGACTGAAGAAGTGAACAAATATTAGTCTTCTATAATTACTCTTACAAGGTCTGACTTTACACAACATTTCTCTGAACTGCAGCCAACAACTACATTACACTAATAAAACACATTTATTTCTTCATTCTCTGTAGTCAACTATAATGTTTCATGCATTGTCAGGCCTATTTTTAAACTTAATTAGTTAAATTAGTGAAATGAATTGTTTTTGAAAGTCAGTGTAGGAAATAATTGACTTAAAGCTCACCATCTTCATCACTGCTGTCTGGTTCGGGCTTCTTAATCCTTCGTCTCTTTTTCTTGTCCATTTTCTCTTCCTCGCTGTCAGAATCCACGATTCGCTTGGTTTTGCTTCAACAAGAGAAACAAACTTTTATTTTTATATATTTATAGCCATATTTGACTTTGGTGAACTCCACCATCACTCGATGAAGACTTCTACCAATCCTCCAATAATTAGTTTATTAATTGATAACCTGTCAACTATTAAGTTAATCGCAAACTACTGGGCTTCAGAAAACAGTAATCAACATTTACACCATTTTCTGGACCAAACAAGGAATTGATTAATCGAGACAATGATTGACATATTAACTTATTAAACGTAGATTCCAAAAGATTTTTCCATCCTCTTAATTTCTAAAGACAAATCATTAAATTCAACACGTTTATAGCCAATGAATACTAAATCCAGATCTTGTCCTTGTTTTCATTCAAATTACTGAGCACGGATTAATAATCAATAATCAATAATTTTTCCACAATCCAAATAAAAAGTTGATCCTTTTTCCGTTAAGTGTTACACTGACACACCTCCTGGAGTCTTTCTTGGTGTCTTTTGTCGGCTCCACTGCAGCAGCTTCTTGCTTTTCTTCAGGTCGCGAACTCTGACGTTGCGGCTCTGCTGAGGATGACGACGGAGCTGCTTCCTCTTCCTTCTCAGCTTTGTTTGGCTTCTCTAAAAGAGGTGAGGAAGAGGGTTCAGTTGGAAAAGATTAGTGACTGAATGAGTCAGCAGGCTGCTTGTAACATCCTCCATTAGTAGTCCACACCTTGTGCCTTGTGATTTTTTATTATGACCTGCAACTGCATAACAGGAAAACATTAGACAGAAAAAATACAAAAGGCAACAGGATACAGGATTCAGTAGGTCTTACTTGAAACTGAAAATGGTGTCAACCTTGGACAAGGTTTTTTGCAGCTTTGGCAGTAAAATAAGTAGCTTAAACTACTACTAGTACTATCACAAAGCACTGAGCACTCACTTGCTTTTTGACTCTCAAAGAAGTTCGTCATTGGATTTGCCTTTGCAGCTGGTTTGCTTTTGGGGGCATCGACCTAAAATAAAAAAGAAGTAAAAAAAGCAATCAGTTATTTCTTTCTTTTTAAGTTAGTTAATCAAACCAAATAATAGAAACCTACCACAGGTGAATCCTCCTTCTGCTCCTGCTTAATGTCTTTTCCATTGCCCTGGTTCTTAGGAGCAGTCTTCCCAAACATTCCCATGATGCCTTTCTGCGGCTTGGTGGACGGTTTTGAAGCCACGTTAGCGTCTCCATTCATGCCAGATTTTTTGTTTTCAGGCTCGGGCGAGGGAGCTCGATGGATTTCTCTCGCCTGCTGCCGCTGCAGAGAGGACACGGGCACCGCGCTGGCACAGCGGATCGCACTGTATCTGCAAACAGAGCAGAAGGGACAGTTCAACACTCTCATGAAGCCCGTTTCCTCACCTGTGTGTAGAGACGCACGGAAAATATGATCAACACACTTGCTGCAGTTCTTGAGATTGTCTTTGACGGCATCGTAGTCGACGCTGTAGAGAGGGCCGCTGTCTTTGAGTAACGCTTTCTGGACGCTGTAGACGTGGACACTGACTATCAAGCTCATCTTGGATTTGAAATCTGCAAAAAAAAAAAAAAACACCAGAGGATGGGTGATTAGTTAGAGTTTAGTTTAGTTAAAACCAATAAGAACAATGTACAGGGATAAACCAGGTGAGACAGTATGTACACACCTTCCAACTGGTCCTCGTTGGACAGACGGAGACCGTGGGCTGGACCGCTGGAAAGAAAGGCACAGACATTCAGCGAGACACAAAAACAGGAAAGTCAGGGTGTGTACAGGATGAATTAGAGCAAACTATGACGCAAACCAGGTCTGTGGATGATTATTTTGGCGTTTCTCACCGTTTGGCATTGTCCTCAAACTTCCCCGACACGGAAGGTAGGGCTGGGGCATGGGAGCTGGAGCCGGAACGGTTTTCCGTTTCCTTCTTAGCCTGATCCAAGTGAGGATGGTTAGAGCATGCCTGGGGAAAAAGACAAAGCCAGCACATAGGTTAATGGTTTTATATCTTGAATTGAAAAATATTGCAGTTACTAGTTACTGCGGATTGCATCTCTTATATATTTACACACGCTACAGCATTCGCACGGTGCACACTGTGTAGACCGCTGGCAGAGGTTATTCTCCACGCCAGATGTAAAAACAGTGGTTGCTTGGTCGTCTGTGCTGGTCTTACAGCAGGATTGAGAAACAGTCATGGGTAGGCTGGGATGTTGAACACTGGACATTATCTAAGGCCTTAGCGGGTGGCTTTACTTTTTTTTGATTGCTATCCGCTTGGCTTCTCTGATTTTGTAATCATCTTTTGGATGATTTGTAGAGGCCATAATGATGTATGGTTAGTTTTTATTCTGTATTAAATTGCTCGCGGCTGGTTGGAGTACCCGAGTAAGAATTAAAGAGCTGATAGTTGCAACAACGTGTGGCCAACCGGCCATCGGGGCTGCGGGGAAGGTAGTTGTGGGTGTAACCACTGAGACTGGATGCTTTATGTTTGGAAAGTTCGGAGAACCGCATTCTGGGTTGTAGAAATACCGAGGTTGGTAGTATAAGGGTAGAAGGAAAGAAAAACAGCTTGTAAAGTTCTCAGGGTGTGAGGATGATTACGAGAGGGTCTTGAATATCATGCCAGAAGAGCTTATTCAGGTGTGATTACAGGGACGGAGGGTAGGATTGGGGGTTCGATGTTAGGCGCTGATCTCGAGTGCTCCAACTGGATGCTGAAAGTCAAAGTGTCTGGGCTTGTTTTCCCATTTCAGCATGAGTTTCATCGATGATGTAGCCTGCAGAGAGGAGGAGACAGCTACGGTCACTGTGTGTCGCGTGTGGTGTTACATGTGGACTCCCAGAGTGAGACTCAGGGCCATGTGTGTAGGTCACCTGTCAGAAAACAGAAAGCACGAACATGGTTCAGTTTAGAGTTCATTTTTTGGTCCCCTCGACCACGATGAAGTGAGGGCCGAGCGAGGGAGGAAAAAAGGGAGTGCTAGAAGATGTTAGGTTTGTTTGAGTGTCGCACCCAGGGCCAGGAATACCGGTGTAACAGAAGGCGCAGGGTGAGAATAGCGTGGTGTTAATTAGTCGGTTTAACGCGGTTGGATGTGTACAGTTAAGGGGTGGAGGTAAGTGGTCTTGAACCCTACCTAGGCGTCACTGCCGGATCCAGTTACCCTTGTAGCGTTGCATCGATGGTCTAGGAGCGTAGATAAAGGGGATGAACAGGTGTAACATGCGTATGTCGCTCAACCTTTACTCTGTGGAGTGCTTACCACAGAAACAAACAGCACTCACCAGACTGTATCGCGCTAACAGCAACGCAGAGTTAAAGCGTGAGACAGACTGGACGGGAAACATGAAGAGTTTTGTTGAATTCAAAGAAGCTTTAGATTTGGTTGGTTGGTGGATCATGGTATTGTAAAAGCGCGAAGTAACCAAAGAGCCGCCAGAGAAGATCGTGTTAATAGCTAACCAACGATGAAGAAGATGCGATACAGTTGCCCTGG